CTTATTTTCCCTCGATATATATTATGAGAGATATATATTAGATATCTATCTATCATCCATCCATCCATCCATCCATCACCTGTACATCTACTATCTGTCTGTCTGTCCGTCTATCTATCTATCTATCTATCTATCTATCTATCTATTCTTCTATTCTACTATCTATCATGCTATCTATCTATCATCTATCTATCTATCTATCTATCTATCGATTAATTATTTATTAAAAAAGTTTTGCATCTGTGTCCATCTGTTGCATAATTGTGTGTGTGTGTGTGTGTGTGTGTGTGTGTGTGTGGGTGGTGTGTGTGTGTGGTGTGTGTGTGTGTGTGTGTGTGTGTGTGTATAACGTACACACCCACCACGCACACACACACACACACACACACACACACACACACACACACGCACGCACGCACGCACGCGCGCATCCCAGCGCCGCCTGGCAACGAGCCATAGCTGCTGCTGCTGCTGCTGCTGCTGCCATAGTCAATCTGAGCGCTAGCGCGGCGCGCCTAACAGCACTCAACGCTAACGCGGGCGGACACGCAGGGTCTGGCTGTTCCCCCGCGCGCTCGGCATACACTCACGCTCTCTCTCACACGCACGCACACATAGGGCGACAGCCGCTGAGAGTAGTAACCGAGTCAGGCCACTCCGCTGTCGGGCTATGGAAACACCGACTGAGGCGCTTCGTTCGTTAGAGCGATATCTCCAGGCGGAGAATAAATCGAGCAGTAAAAACAAGAACATGGAGTGACGTGGTGGTTCATCCGCGAGAGAGGTTTGCGTCGCACACCGAGAGTGACGCAGAAAAAGTGACGCATAAGGTGACATCGTGAGAGTGATGTACTGAGAGTAACGCAGCGAGAGTGACCCAACAAAAGTGATACAGCGAGAGTGACGTAGCGGCAATAACGCAGCAAGAGTAACGCAGCGAAAGTGACGCAGCAAGAGTGACGCAGCGAGAGTGACGCAACAACCATAACGTAGCAAGAGTGACGTAGAAAAAGTGACGCAGCAACCATAACGCACCAAGAGTGACTGTAACACAGCGACAGTGACGCGTCGCACGCAAACGTTGACGATGGCAACAAACGCGACGCTGCGCGCGTTCGCGACGACATTGACGCCGACGACGCTGACAACTCCGACCGACGACGAGAACGTGCCGACGCTAGACGCCGTCGACATCGTCAAGATGTCGGTGCTGCTCGCGATGGCCGCCGTCGCCGTCGTCGGCAACGTGCTGACGCTCTGCGTCATCTACTCGACGCGCGCGCGCCACTCGACGATCGTCGTGCTCATCGCGCACCTGTGCGTCGCCGACCTTCTCGTCACCGTCTTCTGCATGGTCGTCGACGCCGCGTGGAGCTACACGGTCGCCTGGAACGGCGGCGACGCGTCGTGCAAGATCGTCAAGTTTCTGCAGGTGTTCGGGCTCTACGCGTCGACGTACGTACTCGTGCTGATCGCCGTGGATCGCGCGCATGCCATCATGGCCCCGATGGCGCGCATCAAGGCTCCGATGAGGCTGCGCATCATGCTGACGATAGTGTGGCTGGGAAGCGCTCTGCTGGCAGTGCCGCAGGTAGGTGGTGGCGGAAGAAGGAGGGAGAGAGGGAGGAAGGAGAAGGAGAGGCAGGGGAGGGGATAGAGGAGATGAGGCTGCGCATAATGCTGACAATAGTGTGGCTGGAAAGCGCTCTGCTGGCAGTGCCGCAGGTAGGTGGTGGGAGAGAGGAGGGAGGAAGGAGAGAGAGGGAGGGAGGAGGAGGAGGGAGGAGATGAGGCTGCGCATAATGCTGACGATAGTGTGGCTGGGAAGCGCTCTGCTGGCAGTGCGCAGGTAGGTCGTGGGAGGGAGGAGGCAGAGAGAGGAGGGGGTAGGGGGAGAGGGAGGAGGAGGAGAAGGAGGAGGAGGAGGAAGAGGATAAGGAGAGAGCGGAGATGAGCCTGCGCATTATGCTGACGATAGTGTGGCTGGGAAGCTCCCTGATGGCATGCAGTGCCTCAGGTAGGTGATGGGAAGGAGGAGGGAGGGAGAGAGTGAGGGAGGAGGGGGAGAGGGAGGGGATGGGAGAGAGGATATGAGGCTGCCTATAATGCTGACGATAGTGTGGCTGGGAAGCGGCGTGCTGGCTGTGCCTCAAGTAGGTAACGGGAGGAGAGATAGAAAGAGACAGACAGAGAGAGAAAGAAAGAAAGAAAGAGAGAGAGAGAGAGATAGATAGAGAAGGATGAAGAAGAAAGAAGGATAGCGAGAGAGAGCGAGACTGAAGCAGGGAAATGGAGTGGGAGAACGTGTGTGAGAAGGCGAGAGGAAAAGAAAGCGAAATAGAGAGGTAGAGGGAGAAAGTAGAAGACGAAAAGAAAAGAGGAGAGAGAGAGAGACTGGAGGGAGAGGGTAGAGAGAGAGAGAGAGAGAGAGAGAGAGAGAGAGAGAGAGAGAGAGCGTGACCCCACTTACATGCTCAATTACACACTCATATATCGAAGT